GGCATAATTAAGTGTGAAAATAACCGAAGGATATACAGTCAAACCAAAAATGATTCAGAGACCAGATATAATTTATTTATTTTTTTTTAGTGGGTGCAGGGCACTATAGTTCATTTATGTAAGTGAGGACAGCAAAATAAAGTAAACTATGACAAATCACACATAGTAATATAAATTCCATGTATTTATATTAATTAATAAATAAAAAATAATACACTTGTCAAACATAATTCTATATAATTTTTTAAAGGTCATTTAATAATAATTTTAGCATTTTTGTAACTGTAAATTTGAATGAACAGTACTTTAACAGTTTATCATATGTCTTATATTTTATATATATATACATACACACACACACACACACACACACACACACACACACTCTTACCAGTCAAAAGTTTGGGATCAGTAAGACTTGTAATGTTTTTTAAAGAAGTCTCTTATGCTCATCAAGGCTGCATTAATTTGATCAAAAATGCAGAAAAAAAACAATAATATTGCAAAATGTTATTACAATATAAAATAATGGTTTCTATTTTAATATACTTTAAAATAGAATTTATTTCTGTGATGCAAAGCTGAATTTCCATCTGCCATTACTCCAGTCTTCAGTGTCACATGATCCTTCAGAAATCACGATACCTGTTGCGTTTTTGTGTTATGACATATTGTTACACCCCTACTGAAACACAAAAGGAGATATTATGCAGAATGTCCAAGCTGCTGTTTTCCATGAAACATAATATATAAAAATGAGTCTTGTGCGTTTCATGGAATAAAGAATGTAGTTTGAGTTTAGAAAGAGATGAGGATGAATAAATGACTCTGAATGATCCGTTCTTTTAAATCGATCCGTGACACTCTGCCACTGATGTTATCCAAGTAACATTTGGTTTACTTTTTGATTTATTCATCTTGTTTTGGAAATCCAGCATGTAAATGCCATTTTTGAAGTGAAACCATTAACTGTGTTCCTTCATAACCTGCCGGTTCCTGGTGAAGTTACTCTGTGATCGTTTGGTCTTTGCAATAACCAAATGCTGCGTTTAGGTGGATCCAGCTAAATACAAGAGCATCTTCAATGGATTCTCCATCACGATCAGAGAGGACGGCGTGCGCGGGTTGGCCAAAGGTTGGGCGCCCACCTTCATCGGATACTCCATGCAGGGGCTCTGCAAGTTCGGCTTCTACGAGGTGTTCAAGATCATGTACGGTGACCTGCTAGGAGAGGTGAGCTGGAATTCATTTTAAATTGATAAAGTATTTAACCATGTGTAACTTAGTAATGTAACATTCTGACAATTAATTTGCAGAAATGTTATTTTTGGCTGCAGGTAGTTTAACTCTTTTAGGTAGTTGAAATCAATTAATAGTAATTGACAATTAAATAGGTTAAAATATTTTTTTAGTCAGATTGTTACCTGTTTAAGTTTTATCGCTGAAAGAATGTGTATATATAGTATTTACAGTGGGTACGGAAAGTATTCAGACCCTCTTCAATTTTTCACTCTTTGTTATATTGCAGCCATTTGCTAAAATCATTTAAGTTAATTTTTTTTCCTCATTAATGTACACACAGCACCCCATATTGACAGAAAAACACAGAATCGTTGACATTTTTGCAGATTTATTAAAAAAGAAAAACTGAAATATCACATGGATGAAGTTCGCCTGCTTCGAGCGCACCGTTGAGTTGCTCTACAAGTACGTGGTGCCCAAACCCCGCAGCGAATGCTCCAAATCCGAACAGCTGGTGGTCACCTTCGTCGCTGGTTACATCGGTGAGCCTGATCTCTGAGGATTATTTTTGCTTATTTAAATTGCCTCTTATTTATAATAATAATAATATAGAATCAATCATAAAAATTAATATAAAACAGAATACAATATAGTAATGTGAATCCTTACTATTATTTGTAAAATTATATATATTTTTTAATCATGTCAATATTATTCTTAATATTGATAATCAAAAATAAAATATAAATAAAATAAAAAATTAAATGTTTTACATTAAATAACAATAATGAATATAATAAGAAATAACAACTGTAATATATTATTAATAATAATTGTAATATTCATTTTATTATTAATGTAAAACATGTAATTTGTATCTAGTTCATATTTTGTTTTTGTTTTTTATTATTACAAATAATTAGTGCTGTCAAACGATTAATCGCGATTAGACACATACAGTATGTATTTTGAAAATATTTACATGTCTATTTATATTCATAGTTTATATTATAAATAAATATATAAACAACATTTTTTTCTGAAATATATACATGCATGTGTGTGTATTTATATAGACATATTAAATATACACTGTACACATTATGTAAACAAAAACTTTTATTTTGGATGCAATTAATCGTTTGACAGCACTAAAATAATATTGTTTTGATTTTAAACTAATATAATTTTATAAATATTATTGATTTATATTATATTGTATATTGTTTTATATGAATTTGTATTTTTTATTATTTTACCATATTAATTTTATTATTCTATATTATTAATATAATAATCATTCATACATTTTACAGCACGGAGTCACATTATGAAAACTTTTTTTTTTTTCTACGAGATATTTACTGACACCACTCTTGGAAAATTTTTAACTAAAACTACGGGAAATAATGCTAGTCATTAGTCATTGATATTTTATGTATTATGTTAACATTGTAGTTCATGCTGACATCAGAAACACAGTATTGTTGTAACATGCCTTTTTGGAAATCCGGCGTAGATTAAGAGATTATTGTTATTAATTTGATAAAATATGCGCTATCAGAACCTGCTCCGAAGTCTCGATCTGAATCAAATGATTCGCGATCTGATTGAAGCGCTTCGAAACTGAATCATTTTGCGACGCAGTGGTTAACTGACAGTGTTGGGGAAAGTTACTTTTAAAAGTAATGCATTACAATATTGCGTTACTCCATAAAAAAGTAACTAATTACGTTACTTAGTTACTTTTTTATGGAAAGTAATGCGTTACGTTACTTTTGCGCTACTTTTTAAATCTGGACAGGGCTTGCTTGTTTGTTTTCAAAATAAAAAAGTTCTATTTTTGGCGAATATAAAAGCCTTTTCACACCAAAAGTGAAATGAATAAGCCTCAGGCTGAAGGGAAAGTAAATTTACGTCCGTACAGTAGAATGCAGAAGAAGAAATTTCAACACACTTCAGCAATAAAAAAATACACAAATGTTTGTCTAGAGTTATTTGTGCTTATTAGTACGCTTGAACTGGATCATCGAAGGTCAGAAGCAAAGACATTGGTTAATAGAATGGGATTAAATACATAAAGCATATTTGTGTTGTTTAGCATTTAATTATTGCAGGTTTGCGTCATATTCTGAGTTGCATTATTTTTATTCATTTTGAGGAATACTGAATCTGTGTTTTTTTTTTGTGAGTGAGATGAATTAATGCATATTCATATTTATTTTAGAACTACAGTAACTTCTGATTTCTCTCAACATGGAGAGAGCTGTCAATCAATAAATTGAAACTTGCGTTACTTATTTGAAAAAGTAATCTGATTACGTAACTCGCGTTACTTGTAATATATTACCCCCAACACTGTTAACTGATTAGGAGTTTCGAAAAGCTCCGTTTCACCCATCACTACTAGTATATGTGCTTTTTAAAAATCATTACAAGCGATGTCGAAATTCTCAAATGAATGACTCTTTTTGCTAGTGAATCGCTTGAACTGAATGATCGAAGTCACTTGTTTGAATCAATCGGAGCGGTTCCAGAGTAAATGACTCATTCAATTGATTCAGTTTGCCTGTTGTTCAGTTTTCTAGAGTATTTTCTTTAATTTCTCAGGTAATATCAATGTTATGACCTATTTCGGATGCGGCCGAAATGACAACAACAGTGGTTTGATACACAAATGTATTGGTTTCAGAATTATTGCTAGGGACAGTTTAGTAGCTTCCCAACTTAATTCTACACCTTTGAGGTAATGACAGAGTATTAAGATTCAAGGGTATGTAAACTTTTGAATGGGGTTATTTTTATAAATCCAGTAAAATTAAACGTATGAGCACAACTATATACATACATGCATACATACATACATACATACATACATACATGTGTGTGTGTGTGTGTGTGTATATATATATATATATATATAGGCACACACACACACACTCATATTAAATCACAAACACCATTTTATAGAGTTGTACCGAAATTTTTACGTTTAAATTCGAGAAAACAACTGATATCAGCTCTTAACATTGGTCAAATACAGATAATTATGCAAATCAAATGCTTATTTTGCTTGCCGTGGCAGTGAGATTATTTAGTGAGTATTTCATTGAGGTTGTGTTAAGTAAGTAAGGTTGATTAGAAAATGACAGACCTGTCAATCAGTACACATCACGGAGACGTCTATTTGACGTCTGCATTTACATCTGCAAGACGTATTTTTTAGAGCGTTCCCTGTTGAAAAAAGGTGTGCTGTCTGGGCAGGTGCAGCAGATGGCAGCGGATTACAGTAACCTCATTAGCGCTCAGTCTGACGGAAGCTGGCACCGGAGATGGCTCTCTAATTCACTGCAGTGCCCCGTGTAGCCGACACCAGCAGCCTGTCATGCTCGTCTCATGCTGGTATCTCTACCTAGGAGCGCAAAGCCTCTACAGACACGGTAAGACTGACGCATGTTTGCTGATCATGTGGATTGATTGGAGACGAGAGGAACGGTGCGTGACAGACAGAGTGCATGTGTTTGTCCACATCTCTGGAGGAGTGTCCTGTAAGTGACCTTGATCTAAACACACCAGCAGCAACAGATAAACAGGACGCAGGTTGCTGCATTACAGCAGATTTCTTCTGATGCTTGTGTGATTGACTGAGGAGCATCTGTGTGCAGGTGAGATCTTACTGTGTCTGATTGCCACATGCTGATGTGTTTCCGTATATTATGAGATTATTGGTGTGTTGTGATGTTTTTAAGTATGAGATGAGGTTATAGGATCTCCAGTTCTGTCTGACAGTTTTGGGAATTGTTGTTAAATCAT